GATTGTAAATCTCCTGCCACTAACTCCAGAGACTGGAACTGTGGGCAGGCCACCAATTCCACCTGGCACTTACATGGGTGCTGGGAATCAAACTCTAGTCTGCATGCTTGCTGAGCCTATGTTTTAACCACTGAAACATCTCCCCAGCCCATGAGTATGTTTTTGGTGGACTAACAAGACCCTTGATTTCTGATTATTTATTTGATATATACTATATGCTAAACACTGTTCTAGAAGCTGAGGACACAACACAAAATCCTTGTGGTCATTGAAGTTTTAGCCAAACAGACAGAGACAGATTGTCAGGTGGTAATTTGTGCAAAGCCCAGAGACTACCACTAGGTAAACGGATAGAGTAGCGGTAGGTGCATTTTCAGATATGTTGGAAGGAAAATGTCTTGTGAGTTTGAACAGAGATGTAGTTAAATACTAGATGTCTACAGGAAGATCACTCGAATTCTAAATAAGCAGCCTCAGAAAGGCCAAGCGGGCTGGTTTAAGAAACAGCACAGGGCCAATGTCGTTGGGTAGGCTGGAGCTACTTGGGGCTAAGATTTGTACTTGTTCCCAAAGAACTTGAAGAACATTGTTACTTACTGAGGTGGGAGGAAGCAGATTTGTCAAGAGCCATCAGAAGTCTTTTCTTTTTTACCCAAGAGGTTTAATGTTGGGATGCCAAGCAGAGAATTGGTGATAAGAGTTTAGCACTCATAGTCGGGCGGTGGTGGCACACTTTAATCCCAGAGCTTGGAAGGCAGTGGCAGGCAGATCTTTGAATTCCAGGTCAGTCTGGTCTACAGAGTGAGTTCCAGGTCAGCCAGGGCTACAAAGAGAAGCCCTGTCTTGAAAAAAACAAAGAACAAAAAACAAACAAACAACAACAAAGAGTTTGGAGTTCAGGAAAGCCTCATACTGGGAGTTTCACCCTGCTCTAAATAAATGGCTGGGAACCTCAAGAACCTGGGAGCCCACACAACATTTAAAGTGTGGTTTGAACTGAGGATCACCTGGACCATAGAACACTGATGCTCTTTCCCCAGATGCAGTCTGCCATTCATTCAGCAACAAATACTTAAGGCACTGTGCTGTACTGGACATAAGGCATTGGCTGTGTCATGAGCGTTGAGACTGTCCTGTACGTACATCTGTAGTCTTGTAGGAGGTAAAGATGAAAAAGTGGAGATTTCAGCACAGTGAGGAGGGAGTAAGTTAAGGGTGCTTGGACCAAGGGTGGGGCACCTCATCTTGTCAAGGAGGCCAGAGCAAGCATCTCAAAGAACATGTTTCCCAAACTTCCCTACTTGGGTATGAGGATGGAGAGCAGTGTAGAATAATGAGTGAGAACAGCGTTTCAGGCAGAGAATATAGCAGGGGACAAAGGAAGACATACATTCTGGTGAGCATGAGGGTGCCCAGGGTACAATGTGAAAGGGATGCACAGACACACAGAGGGAGGCAGGTGGAAGCTGGAGGCTCACCAGGAGGGGTTGGTTCTATTGGCAGTGCTGGGATTGTATTAGAAAGGCTACAGGCAGCCTCTGGGGAGCTTTAGGTAGCGGAAAGGGGCCAAGGGAGGGTGGTTTGGAGAAGCCACACCTATAAACAGTAGCATCAATAGTCTGAGAAAGGTGGACATTTTAGATGTCTAGTGCCCCAAATATGACCTATAAGTGTAACATACAGTGTTAGTTAGGGGAGGGGGAGGAAGGTTGGGGTGCTTTGCTTAATCTCAGTTGATGGGGGATACTTAAATGGAAAGGAGGTACGAGGTACCAGCATTTTAATAGGGAGCCAGAGGGTGGGAGAAAGGAAGGACAGGCTGAAGATGAATGAGACAGTTCCCCAGAAGGGCAAGCCCTTTCACACAGAGGAAGCAGGCAGGAGACCAGGACCACAAACCCAAAATGACAGTCTTTCCAAGCACACTCTGCTTGGCATGTTGTATGTTGTGTGTATTCAGGATCTGCACCTAACTTCCAAGAGAAGGTGCTTCATGCTAGGTGTCTGTGTGTTTGGACCAGCTGTTTGTGAAGGGATGTTCTGAGTTGGGGCTAATGTGCAGAACTCTGGAATGTACACCATATGTACTGCCTGCAGTAAAAGGGATTTGTATCTCACATATGCTGGGAGAGGACATATGTCCCTGAACAGCCTGTGAGATTTCAAACCAGAACAAGCTATGGGCTCTGTGCAAATTCAGAGAGTATGGGCTTGCTTTGCACACAGTGGGGACATATGTTTTGTCAACTGAATGAGCATTTCAGCTTTATCGAAACTCAGTCATTTTAGGAAGCATATGTTTGGTTAAAAGTTTAAATGAGATAGTTTAAAAAATAAATTCAGGCTGGGGATTTAGAGCAGTGGAAGAATATTTGCCAATAAGCACAAAGCCCTGGGTTCAATCTCCAGTATTGCAAAACTAAAATAGTAAGTAAATAAATAGCCAGTAATGGCGTTACACACCTTATAATCCCAGCACTGAGGATCCAGAGGCAGGTGGATTTCTATGAGTTCAAGGCCAGCCACGGCTATACAGAGAGACCCTGTCTTTAAAAAAAAAAAAAAAAAAGTAAATAAATAAAAAGTATAAAAAAGAAAAATAGAGCTGGAGATGTAGCTTAGTTGATAGAGTGATTGCCTGATATGCATGAATCCCTGGGTTGGTCCCCAGGGCCACATAAATGGGGTGTGTTGGCACATGCCTGTAACATCAGCCTTTGGAGAGTAGAAGAGAATCAGCAGTTTCTCCTTAGCTATCTATCAAGTTCAAGGTAGGCCTGGGTTACACGACCCTATCTCAAAAAAAAAAAAAAAAAAAAAAAGAACAAAAAACAAAACAAAACAACACCATGATAAAACAAAACCCAAAGCCAGATACTCTCAACCTTTTATGAGGCCTAGCTATCTGAATACTGTGCTGCAGCTCATATTCTGGCTGGGGACCTACTCTGTGCACGCAACTTTCATTTAGCTCCACAAGCATTTCTGGAGCCGCAGGTTTTACTATGAAGACTCCCTTAGTCCCTGAATTGCAATTAACACTTAATTATAGGTTTTTTGTTTGTTTGTTTGTTTTTTGTATTGCTCCTCAATTGTTAGTGAGCAGCAGTCTGCTCCCAAGGAGGCCAAATGTTCCCTGGGGGCAGGGACTGTATTGCAAACCTCAGGTTGATCAAGAAAGGCATGAGAGGGGTGAATATACAGGAAGCATTGGAGGACAACTGGGAACAAGAACAGAAAACCATGCATGGGTTGTATGTTCCTTTACTAATAAAATATGCAATTGCAATCTACATTTTCATGTTAAGGGAAGGCTTTATGTATTAAATCATCGATTTGAGTCCCTACAATGCTTTGTTCTCCTTAATTGGAAACAGAAATCTTTCCTGAGGATGAGAATTAAAAGGGAAAAGCAGTCTTGGGTGAATCACACCCTAGCAGGATTGTCCTAGAGCAGGCACTACAAGCATTCAGACTAGTTAATTCAGCCACATGGGGCTGTCTTGTACACAGCAGGACACTGGTGGCATCCTTGACCTTCAGCAGCTTAGATGCCAGTAGGGAACAACTCTCACCTAACACCAGTGACAAATGTCTCCAGATATTATTAAGTGCCACTGGGGACAAAAATCATTCCTAATTGTGAACCATCTCCCAAAGGAATTTTGATTCCAGTTGGATACTTTTATTTCAACAAGTAGTGAGAGGCAGGGGAAGGGACATTCTATTTTTTTAAAATTTAATTTATTTAAATTTATTTATTGTGTGTGTGTTCAGGTCTAAGGATAACTTGCTGGAGTTGATTCGCTCCTGCCACCTTGTGCATGCTGGGGCTCTAACTCATCAGGTTTGGCCACAGTGTTAACACTGAGCCATCTCCTCTTACCAGTTCCCAGGACATGCTACTTTTTTTTTTTTTTTTTTTTTTTTTTTTTTTTTTGCTGTGATGTAGGCACTATCTCTAGTTACTCTGCTTTATCTAATAGATCAAGAAGCTGATGTTCAGAGTTGAACCTGCCGAAGATGCTGGTGCTAGAATCACACGTGACTCCCCAAACTTTACCAAGACTCCACTGCCTCCTAGAAAGGCAGCAAGTCCCAAATTGGAGGTGAACTGCAACTTCAAAATGTCTTAAAACTTTCTTTTTTCAAGAGGGAGAGGGAATTATTACTCTTTTACTCATTAAATTTGTTTGATTGTAAACACACACGCACACATACCACACACACACACACACACACACACACACACACACACACACACACACACACACGCCCCTCCCCACCGTCCTTGGCCTTATCTAGGAAAAACACAGACCTACACAATGGAACAGCTTCGATTCTCCCTGTTACAAATTATCCAAAAGCTAGAGCCTAACTGTGCCAAAAAGCAACCGGTATTGTTTACTCAAGGGTTGAAGGCTAATAGTTAACTTTCTCCCATTTAATTCTAGAAACAGTAAACACCGCCTCGCGTTACAACTACAAACGAATAAATGTCATAAAACAGGGGAAGAAAACTCTTGGTCCAAAGCAAAATGAAAAGGTTGGGTTTTCAAGCGCTTCCGCCCTCGCGCGCCGCCCCCGGCTACCCGGCCTCGGGTCCCTGTCGCCCTCGCCAAACTGCTGTCCCTGGCGCCCAGAGCTTCTGGCTTCCTTTCCCGCCCTGGGCGCGCTGGAAAAACAACAGCCAGAAACTTTGGCTGGGTTTGCAGTTCAGTGAGGAGGGGGGTAAAAAAAAAAAAAAAAAAAAAGAGAAAAAAAAAAGGAGGAAAAAAAAAAAAAAAAAAAAAGGAGGGGGGAAGCAGATACTCTAGTTCGGTTCCGGACTGAGCTGAACGTTCCGATTTAGGGGTGGGGGCTGGGGGGAGGGGGTCACAACTCGGTCAGGTTCAAGTGCGCATGTGTGTGTGAGAGGAGTCGCTCCAGCATTTATTGAGCGCCCACTGTGTACCGCCAGCCAGGGTGTGTGGAGCGCGCGCGCGCGCGGCCGGGGCTGGGGGCGCGCGGGTTGTGCGCGCGCGTGGCCGGGGGTGTGTCCCCGCGTCTAGCTGGCTGGCTCGCGGGCGGTCTGGCTGCGAACGGCTCGGTGCGCTCCCTTCCCGGGCGGGGGAATCCGGGCCGGGTTGTGGCCGCGGCCGTGTACGTGAGCGCAGTGTCCCGGAGAGGGAGGGCAGGCCGGCCAGGTGGGCGCGAAGGCGGCGGCGGCGGGAGGCGGCGCAGTGCAGGGGCCGCGCCGGTGGCGGGCAGGGCCGCGGCCGCTGCAGGGAGCCGAGCTGTCCGGGCCAGTGGTCTGCCGAGGTGAGCTGCGCGGGACCTCGCGCGGGCTGCAACCCGGGATTAGGGACGGCATCGGGTGGGGGGCCCAGGAGGCTCGTGCGGCCCGGGCGAGATCGGGGCTGCTGCGGCGGTGGAGGGGTGGCCGGGTGGGGGTGGCCGCTCGCTTTCTCGCGCGTCGCCTTGTTTATGTCGCGGGTCCTACCGCCGGATCTCCCTTCCAACTTTGAGCAGTGGCCGGGAGTGGCCTCGCGGGCCCACACTGACCTGTTAACCTGCCCCCTTTCCGGCTGGGCCGACAGCCCGGCGCTCCGCGCGCCCCTGCCCTCTCCAGATCCAGAGAGCGCGGTGCTGCGGGACTGGCCTCGCGACACACCCTCTCCCAGTTCTTTCTTGCGGCCCCCCTTCGCCGCCCCCCTTGGCTGTAAGCCTGCTGGGCTCACCCCGGGTCCCTCCTTGGCCGTGGCACTGTGGGCCTCTGGAGTGGCCGATGGGGGCCTAGAAAAGGAGTTTGTCATGGGCAGACAATTCCGAGGCAGGATTCCCTTCCTGCCTGGGAGTTAAGGCTCTGCGCCTTCACTTTAGGGCCCACTTGGAGGTCTACCTGCCAGCAATCCTGCGCGTGCCCTGTTTTCCATCCCTCCCTTTCCTGTGGTTCTGGAGGACTTCCACTAGGCATGGGTTCCCATGATGCCAGGCCATGGCACAGGGACTATCTACAGTCCTTCACTGCTTTCTTGACTCTCCCTGAATAGAAAGAAGGGTGTAAAGTGGGGCAGTTGGTTTCAAAGTGAGCAATCAACAGGTCTTATAGCCTGGGGACATCTTCCTAGGGGCTGTGTAAATAGAGGCTTTTGCTTTGGAAGCATGAAACAGAAGGGCATTGGTTAACCCACAGGTACCTCTGAGAACCTATTCTGTTCTCTTCCTACTGCTAAGACTTCTGGGTGATGCTTGAAGGCGACTTTTCGAAGGACTCAGGAAGCTACAAGACTAGAGAGAAATGATTTAAGAGCTCAAGTTTAAATTAATGTGCTATGGCCACAAAGTTAATGTAAACGTTGGGGACACAGGAAGCATGGCAGTTAAAGGTGGAGAAGGGCACTTAGTACTCATTTTGAAATAATTCCCACCTGTAGACAATTCCCTGGCAAGACTCAAAAGTCAAAAGGAAGAGTTCACAGGTGACAAGCTTGCAGAAGGCTTGTTGTCCCAGTGAGTAAGACTACAGAAGATACATAAATCTGTCCAGGGCTTATAATCTCTTGGAGGACACAGAAAGACTTGAGCATGTGAAATAAGATTCCAGATGGGGCACAGTTAGTTGTCAAATTGCCAGGTGCAGAAATGGGTGCCGTTGGAGGTCAGGGGAGGGCGCTAGGTACGTTCAGGGATTGCTAGGCCTGTGTTGTGCCCCTTGCACGATGAGACTCTGGAGATGGGGCACAATGAATGTGGGGAATGAGTCTGGGTTTCTCTAGAGACTAGGAGATGGCCTTGGCCCTCTTGGAATGTTTCCTGAACAGTAAGAGATAAAGTTAGAGAGGAACAATGACTGAGGTTGTGAAAGTCCTAGAAAGTCAGACTAAGGAATTAGACTTTTATCCTGGGCGTACTGGGGAGACATTAGACCAGGGAGGGATGTGACTAGGGTATTTGTAAAGATTTTTGAATCTGATGTTAGGAGGCAAACCAGTAAGTAGCCTGTTGCACTTTTGGAGTGCCGTGGGTTTGGACTTGGTTTTATTGGAAGATTTTACTGTTAAATAATCTGTTGACAGGGGCAGGGTGGAGAGAAGATGTGAAAGGAATTCATTCCTGGTGGAAGCTGATCACACATACACCAGGGCCTTGGAGTTGCCCTAGTTGGTAATCTGAATCGGAAATGTATGTTTTGTAGAGAAGGTAATTGACACTTGGGCTGTAGAGAAGTCTCTGTTTGTCAGGTTGTCCAGATGTAGGGTGTAGTGCTAGCAGCTGTGGCTGTGATGGGTGCAAACCCTGGGGGGGGCAGTGTAGGGACAGAGAATTCACATGGGACTGCGGGTGGGTGCAGCCTTCAGGGCTTTTGTTTTGCCCTCCTTTCACTTGGCATTGCCTGCATCTAACCCTGAAGCTAGAGGAGCAGTGCTGGGGAATGGGTTTCTAGGAACATGGGGCATTTATTACAGCCCTGTGGGTGGGGCTGGAGGTTGGAGGGAAGTGGAGTGGGCTTTGCTAAGGGGGGTAAGCTACTAGGCTTTGATGCTTGCTGAACTTTACTCTTTACAGAGATACTAAGGTAAGTCTCCTGCGCTGTTTGTGCAGGGGGGAGGGACAAACAGCAAGACAACCTAAGAAGACAGAGGAATGTGGGGCCTCTTGTAGGGCCTGGCTTATACCAGGCCCATCCAGTTCCCAGGATTCTGGTGACAAGGACAAGTAGCAGGGAGCTGGTGTTCTTTTTTCCCTGAACTCTAAATTCTGCTTTCTTTTTGCAAGAGCGACTTAGGGTGATATGCTGAACAAATTCCCCAAGCCTCAGCTTGCAATATCTGAGTTTGAAGGGTGATTGCAAAAGGTTGTGGAGTGATCCGGGATGCCCGTTTTAGTTGCTGGTTTCTCTTGAGATTCAGGGTCAGTGAACAGAGGGGAAGAGGGCCTTGAGGGATCGGGACGGAGCTGTAAGGGTCACATTCTTTCTTACCTTCTGTCTTTTGGCTCCTCTTCTCCCCTCCTCTCTTCTCCTCTCATCTCTTCTTTTTATTCCCTCTTCCTCCTCTCTCTCTGTTCCTTCCCTCAGTCCATCCTTCTCTCCAATCCCTCTTATTCTGTGTAACTCAGGAGCCTTGAATTCACCACAATCATCCTGACATGGCAGGCCTGAGCTATCATAGGTATTTTTTTTTTTTTGTTATAGTGACTGTCAGACTATTAAAAGAAATCATATAAAGCAGACAGAGGTTGGGTTCTTTGGTTTATCATAGGGCAAGGTTTATACACAGTTGTGACCATGACCTACATTAAGAAATAGAGTTGAGGGCTGACGAGATGGCTCAGTGGGTAAGGGTGCTTGCCACCAAGCCTGGTAACCTGACTTGATTCCCAGAATTCACATGGTGGAAGGAGAGAACCAACTCCTGCAAGTGCAGGCATGGATACCCCCTATCAATGTAAAATAATGTAAAATAATGAAAAGAAACTTACATCATGACTTTATATACCTAATCATGTATGTAAAAATCGAATTTCAGTTTGTGAAGTCTTAACCTCTTTTCTTTGTACAGCCTGGATTTTTTTTCTTTTTATTGTCTATGTTGTTCCTTCTCACTAAAAAATGCTCTTGTTTCCCACCAAGTTGATCCAGCCACTCTCTAGTGGATCATAACCCACTCACAGTTTGAAATGCACCGGGAGACTTTCACATTCCTCAAGTATTTATGAAGCTGCCTGTGTGCAGAGCTACACCTCCCAGGGCTGAAGGTAGCTGCAAGCCCAACAAAGGGGGGGGTGTTATGGCCTAGTTGGAGAGATAAGATGCACCGTGGAGAAGGAGCAAATGCCAAAATGAAAAAAATTAGTACTCTGAAAGGCTAGAGAGGGCAGGGGAGGTGGGGCCGCAAAGTGGTGTGTGCTGATGGGACTGGGGAGAACTCTTGGGAGTAACCAAGTCTGGGAGGAAGTTTGGGGCATTCAGTGCTGCATAGGGAAGACACATCGTGAGTGAGGGCTGGGCTGCAATGTATACTGTGGTTGTATGTGAGAGGGAACAGGAGATTTTTGTGAAAGAGAAGGACTGGAAAGGCGGTTTAGGGCATGTGTAGTGTCGGGCTTGTGCATGTGTGGCAGGCTAGGCAACACCAAAGTTCCAAAGGCTTTTTTTGTTTTATTTTTTTTTTTTTTAAAGATAGGATCTCACTATGTAGCCCTGGCTGGACTCCAACTCACAGAGGTTGGCCTGCTTCTGCCTCCAGAGTGCTGGGACTAAAGGTATGCACCGCCATGCCTGAACACCAGAGTTTTACAAAATTGGGAATAGTCCAAAAAACATCTGGATTTGGGGGTCTGAGGAGTCAAGCATGGTTGCCTCATGTTGAGGGATGGCTGTGTGCTGAGTACAGAAAAGGATGTTAGAGTCCCCAGTCCTGGTCTCAGGGTTCCCTGGCCCTTTGAAGCAGTCACTAGACATCTTTGCAGAGGCCTATAGGCATTTGGGACCTCAGGTTTCAAGACCTCAAATGCCAACACAGGGAGCCCGGGATCTATATCATGGGCTCTGACTGGACCTCCGGAAGGTTCTGGTAAGGGTGTGGCATGGAATCTCTGGGATGTTGATGTGCAATGAATTTGTGTTATGCAAATCAGAGGCCACTTCTAAGGAAGATGGAGCCCGGAGATATTTTTATGTGATCAGAATTACGTTTTTTAAACGTTGAGTGTTTTGTCTGCATGTATGTGGGTACACCACATGTATGTAGTGTGTTCATGAGGGCCAGAAGAAGTCAGATCTCCTAGCATGGAGTTAGGTCTGTGAATCTCCATGTGACTGCTGGGACTAGAACCTGGGTCCCCTGCAAAAGCAGCAAGTGCTCTTAACCATTGAGCTCTAGAATTGTATTGTATATTCTCTCTCTCTCTCTCTCTCTCTCTCTCTCTCTTTTGTTTTTTGAGACAGGATTTTTCTGTCCTGGGACTCACTTTGTAGATCAGGTTGTCCTCAAACTCACAGATCCACCTGCCTCTGCCTTCCGAGTGCTGGGATTAAAGGCATTCACCACAACCGATAGAATGGTATTCTTTAAAACAAACTTCCACTGGTTAATTTAGGGTGAGACTTATTTCTAGGAATTCCAGGGTTTCTCCAGCATCTTCACTGTATTTTTCTGTCTCTCATGCTTAGGTGGTGACTCCAAACAATCATCTAAGAATGAAACTGGTGATGATAACTTGGTGAGAAGTGAGTGAGTCAGGACTATACAATGCCATGACACAGTGGCTTCTCAGGTGCTGTGTCTCACAGAGACACAGCACTAAGGGGAGTAAGA